CGGTTTTTGAGTGCTCCTGTCTTGAATCTTCAGTTTCAGCGTGCTACAAATCTAAGGATTTCATCCCAGACAATCAGAAACAGACTCCATGCCTCTAATTTACGAGCTAGAAGACCAGCAGTCCGACCAATTTTATCCAGAGGTCATCGACAATCCAGACATCAATGGGCCACTCATCATTTGAATTGGCAATTACGTCATTGGAGAAATGTTATGTTCACAGATGAGTCTAGGTTTTGTGTTGACTTCCATGACGGTAGGAGGAGGGTATGGAGAACCCAAGGAGAGCGCTATGCAGACTGCTGTGTTGTCCAGCATGATCGCTTTGGTGGTGGGTCAGTGATGGTTTGGGCAGGGATCAGTGTTGACTTCCATACAGACCTCTACATCATAGACAATGGATCTTTAACAGCTGTTCGATACAGGGACGAGATTCTACACCCTATAGTAAGGCCCATTGCAGGAGTTGTTGGCCATGATTTTATTCTGATGGATGATAATGCTCGTCCTCACCGTGCTCGTGTGGTCAACGACTATCTTCAACGTGAAGCAATCGTTCGCATGGACTGGCCAAGTCGTTCTCCTGATCTGAACCCTATCGAGCATGCTTGGGACACCTTGCAACGCCGGGTTTCAGCTCGACCTAATCCGCCACAGAACCGCCAACAGCTTATGATTGCTCTGCAAGAGGAATGGCAGCGCATCCCACAGATCAGCCACCGACGACTAATAAGGAGCATGTGCAGACGTTGCAGGGCAGTTATTGATGTCAACGGAGGTCATACTGCCTATTAAACTGCCAATTGCAGTTTGATGAGTTTTCCTTGTCTACATGATTAACTTGCTCTACTTCCTCTTACACTTTGATTTCAAGGGTGCTGTTACTCAGGGTTATCTGCTCTTGGTAGCAATTACCACAAATGAATTTGTTTTGTGTAATTAAAGACTAAAATGAATGTTCTGTCATTAAAATTTAAAATATAATCATATTATTATTTGTATGTAAAACTGCACTGTTTCAAGTTTATGATCCTTAACTTATTTTGTTCAGTATACATAACTTTACTTTCTGCAATATACTCATGGATTAAAATCAAGAACAAGTTAACTTAATGTTGTTTTTCATTTTAATTTTTTCACAAAAGATATTTGAACGTATCAGAAATCAGAACAGTCATGCCTGATCACGTCAAAACGCATTGCTGATGTTTAATATCGAAATTAATCTTTATTCAATATTTCCTTGTTACAAGATGAAAGCGATTTCTGTACAGACTGACTACTCAAGGAAATACATAAAGTTTACGTATTTCTACTTTTTATTTGACTTGCTAATGAAGTACATTGTCACATTTTTGTGATACAGGTAGTATACTTTACAGTAGTTTTCCCTTACGTGGTCCTGTTATATTTGTTGGTGATAGGACTTACGCTAGATGGTGCTGTCGATGGAATAATCTATTTCCTTGTCCCGAATTTTGAAAGACTTGGTGATGTACAGGTAGTATTTGTTTGTTTTCAAAATGAAATATTCTCCTCTTAATTCTCCAAATTACATATTTTTCTTATCCACTTGATATCATTTATATGCAAACAGCGTTGTTGTGTATACTTGCCCTTTCCATCACAACTAGATTCCATAAAACATATTTTAAACATAAAAGACATATCCTTTCAATTTCCTGAAGGCAGAATTCTATTCCCATTACGGACTTTTCTGTATATACCGTAGAAAACTTTCTGAGAAGTATTTTTCTTAAGAGGGTTACTTTTTCTACAACGCATATTAAACTCTTATAGAGTTGCTTTAAAAGCACAGCGGGTACATAGGTGTGTTTCGGTATACCATAATACATATTTTAAGGTCTTCAAATTACTGGCTGTCGCTTGGTTGCAAGTTTATCAAGCTGGCGGTAACGTGACAATGACATCTCACATTGCAAGTCAAGTAATAGGATGCATGTTTCCACCACCAACATATTTGAAAGTGAACTTTGCCGACGTGTTCATATGAGTTTGTTAGGGAATGGATCACACGATATTAGTCGGAGTAATTTGACAACTTTTTACTACGCCAGTTGACAAAATTCATGGTTTTTGTAGGTGTCTGTCTTTATGAGCATTAATGAACAATTGTATATATATAGTATATGTTGAAGACCTTTGTGTGCTTTATTGGGTGGAATGATCACAAATTGTACATAAATATTTTATTTATAGTATTTTTTTTACTTAAATTCTGATACTATTTTGAAATATAATCAAAAACTTGTGTACAAGACAGTTTACTGTTAATGCAAGTTTCAAACCATTAAAGGTAAAGAAGGTATTACCACCTTGCTAAGAAATAATTAGGTTGATTTTATATATGTGATTTGTTTCTGTGACAGGAAATGGCTGTACATACAAGGGTCAAACTTACAAAGCTGGAGATAGCTGGGTGGATGATTGCAAATACAATTGTATCTGTGATTTATTTTTTAACTTTAAACTGATGATTAATAAACCTACAAAAAAAATCTGTTACATGTTAGTGTTGATTGGCTTTGGCCTATTTTAGGGATAAACAAATGTTATATCACACTATCCTTATAAACATTTATATGTTAAGTAAAGATGTGGATATATTAATCAGTTCCATACAGAATTATCTTTAAATAATGTCTTAAACAGTTTTGTATTTACTAATGTGATTATATTCATTTGTTACAAGGTGTCCTATCTTCACCAATCTACCAAGCAGTCTGAAATTGGAAAAGGTGCCTGGACAGTGTTGTCCTAAAGTTGTATTCGTCTTCACTGGAACAATAATATCTTTTACTGCTCCTCCCAGTTAGTATGAGAAAAGTTCTCTCATTCAGGATAGATATAATTACTGGAGCTCTTCATTCTTCAAGTGCCTTGTACAATCATCTAGTCTGTCTCTCCATTTTAGCTCATTGATGTACCTATACACATTCAGTACTGTAACCATACTTCTATTGGCGTTAACAAATTTTACGCAAGATCAATTTTGAACAATAAAGCACTTTTATGTTTTACAATGACTGGGTGGTCAGAAAGTTGTGACGATTCTACCCAATTGTATACTGACAGTGTACTAGCTATTAACTCTTGATTTTATAAAGAGGAATGTTTGAAATATGTTTTGGAAATAGATTTGTGGTAGCATGGTGCAGCAGAAGGGGCTACATTCAGAAATGTTAGCTATTCAAACTGCTTTTCACATTACATGGAATAACTTCATCTTCGTATGAAATGTCATATGAAAGAAATACCTACAACAAACATAAACACAAAAGAGTAAAATACACTGAATGTTTTATCCTTAAGAGTGTCTCTTACACATTATTCTTTTATTTTCCATTTTGATTGCAGACATGTGCTTTTATAAGGGCAATTCTTATGGAACTGGTGAGAAATGGGATGATGGATGTGATTATAAATGTGTCTGTACAGATGCTGCAACAGGAAGATATAAGTGTACACAGTGTAACGTTGGACGATCAGTAGGCAGCTGAGACATCACAGGACGATATGTTATGCAATATTTACAAGTTTATTTATAAACGTTATATTCATTTATATGCATATGAAAGAAATTCAAAATTATGTCCGCACACTCACAATCACACTTTCATGCATTCAAAGCTAAATATCATTTTCCACGTACGTCGGTATCACAGATGTCATGTGGCGCACAACACATCCACTACTTGATTTCAGTAGATCAAACACATTCAGTTCCTCTTAGAGCCTATTTACCATGTCACATCTATACATTCCATGGCCGATGATCATGGAGCAACACAAAAGTACCAAACATACCCTCCGTAGAAGTAAGTAAAATAATTTGATTTTAAGATAGACCTGACAGGCCTAGAGATTGTCTTGTTGATTTGAATTTTGAATATTAGGTTAAAAACATGATTGATATTGTGGTTTGTTTGTAAATTGTCCTGCAAATTCATTACCATTCTGATCAAACATGCATGACACAACAAATAATGAAGACATTGTATGATTATTAACAAGCCTTCATGACTGCAGGGGGGGGGGGGGGGGGGGGGGGGGTGACAAAAAACCTCAAACCAAGATGCAAGAGTCTTGCATATCTCCCGTAGACTTTACTGGTAGTTTTTTCAGATGATTGATTTCCACCCTTCTAACAATACATGGTTGTTGCTATTTTGATTAAAAAGAACTTTCTTTTCCACCCACCCAGTTAGAAGAATCTAAATCGAACCAACCAACCCCCATCCAGTCAAATGCTGCAAGACACCTAATTGTCCATATTTGGTAACAATCAATTATCCACCTGACTTACAAGAAGAGTGAGACCTGCTCTTGTGTGTCTCTTTCTCTATCTGGTAGTTTGCAGTTGTTTTTATATCTGTATCGTTTTTTTTTCAATAAAATTAAAAAAGAAGTGGTTTAAGATTGTATTTACGTATATTGAAATTTGAAACCGAAAAATGATGTAAAGAACAGAAAATATAACCAATGGAAAGTTAGCACGAAGACCCTTGAAGAACAAGAAAATAACAACATGTATAATGAATGACAATGTATTTTGCTTCATAAACAAGAGCCACCATGTAAATCCATGACCATCCAAGATGATGTCAAGGCCATATTTATAACAAATTTCATAATATTCAACATGTGTATCAGTTGATATCGACAGCGCAGCATCACAGTCTGCTAAAGGAATTGTTAAAAACTTAATTATACATCTTGTATATGCTTAATGATTAATCTTGTAAAATATAGAGAAGTAAGCTCACTAGCGTTGGCAACATTTGTTAAAACCCCAGCGGAGTAATAAATACATCTGTCTATTTTTCCATTGGTTAATTAATTGACCGCCAGTCCACATTTATGAAAATGATGTATCCATCCCTTAAATTATCTAATAAATTGCTCTTCAACTTTTCCAAATATCTATGTTATATAGCTTAAATTCACTTCCCCATTCAATAGATGTGCTTTACTCTGAGTTACAACATTAGATGTTCCTCTTCTTTCTTGTTTAATGAACTTTTTGTGAATCTCCTCAATTCTGAATTCCAAGAATCAGGTATCCGACCTTCCATTATAACTGGAGTTGTCAGTGTTTTCAGGCGCTGAAAAAAATGGAGGGGTTTGATACTTGTTTATGAATACATTGTTAAATCATTTCCTAAGTTTTACAGATAACAAAAATTATATATTATGTTATAATATTGAGTGACTCGATGTTGTCTCTGAGGAAGCATTCACTACAGAAATATTCAATACTGTTCTACATGCATCTCTTGGTGGAAAAATATCACATTACGCAAGTAGAAATTCGCCACTTTCAGAATTGATATACTTGAAACTATATATATCTACACACACATGAGTATTTTCGGTCAATAAGGTCTAGTTTTAACAGTTGTTTTATATATTTGAAGTCGACTTACCTCGATAAGCGTACCAGAGGTTCCCAGTAATTTATAAACCATAACAGCTGGAACGCATACCATTGATGACAAGGACAACATAAGACCGAAGGCTTGAGCGAGGGGCGGATAGGAATAGGAAGATCCGAAATTACCTAGTCGTAATGACGCAAGTTGCGATATGAACAGTCCCTTGAAACCAAACATAAAATACGAAGTATATTGTCATAACAATGATATTAAATACGAGAATTCTGTGAACTATTGGCAACGAAACCTGGAATACATAGTTTTTTTTCCCGCTACCATTAAGTTACATTAACATGCCATAAGTCTTTTACGTTTTTTTTATTTTATGATATATTCTTTATATTTCAAACTTTTCCCATGAATTTTCTTGGCTTCGATTTGGCCATTTTGTACAATAATATCCATAGGAGAATAATGCAAAATTATCTACATTGTTAATTTCCATGTGACGCCATTTTCGTATATACACTTACCAAAATGACGTCAAAATGGTATCCCGAAAATAAAGTGCAAATCAATTTATGATTAGTGTCTGAAGAGATAAAATATAAGTGCGAGTTATATCCCTTTAATTGAATGATGTATTTTAATTATTATTACCGTAGTCAGGACGGGGGTGATGAACTTCAAGCAAATCAACAATAATCGGTTGATCTTGAAACCCAACATCATGTACAGGACGTCATCAAATCTATCGGCGCCTGTTAACAGCATTGTATTTCTATATTCTTTATTCTTCTTTTAAGTAGCTGACAGAAATGTTTGTTATAAAAAGAGTGTTTGTTCGAAACGTTTAATGTCTCTATATACACAGGTGTAACAATTGACATTAAATACATGGACATTTGATTTCGTTTATATTTATCAATACAATTTAAAACGTTTGCGGACAAAGGTAAAATTTGTTAAGATAAACAGCGATTGTTGGTTTGGGAATATATTGTTTATGTGTTACAGTTCTTGTTACAAAGGAAATGGGGAATTTTGCCATGTCATTCAGATTCTAAATCAAAATATACGGCTACCAATCATTTACATCCTTATTTGATTTTCAAGTTAATATATGATTCAAACTTGATTGGATTAAAACTATAGGAAATGTTATTCTTAGGGTGGAAGTATTGCGCGGATAGATAGACATATGTTGTCAGGCTGAATACGTACCGAATACCCAACCAATTGCAATGCATTCCCAGAAACAGACCCACAGCAATACCATGCCACTAGCAGAGAAGTTGTCAAACAGGATCCAAATGTAAATTCCTCCCTATTTACGTAGAGACAAAATACTGCAGTTAGAAAACTACAAACCTTGTAATCTATACAAAGATAGAACTAATAAATGATTATCGTTTTCTAAGGAAATGTCTTGACTGGTGAATTCTTTTTTTCTCTCCATTAGTAAGCAACACTGATTATTTATCACATTGTACACTGTGGTCGTACCTATTCTAATTGACTTGAGCGTGGACTGCAATTTTTTTAGCTTTCACAAATGTAAATGATATTTACAATCCTACCAGAAAAGCGGTAAACCAGTAACATGTACCAATAGATAATTAAGAGCGTTTTAACTGTTCAGTTCAAGAACTTTGGAAAAAATCATCGAGGTCTTACTCTTGTCGTCATAGACAACCCAACGAGGAACAGTGCCAGGCAGTATATGGCCGTCAATAACATCCGAATCCAGGTCTTCCTATACCTCTCAGGAAGGGCGTCCACCATCATGGTCACGGCTACTTCGACTCCGAGAAACTGTTATATATTTAAATTTTATAATTAGGTTCTAGGTATCGACAGAAAACTAAGCAAATTAGTAGAGAACTAATATATATCTTCAAATTGTGCGAGTAGATCACTTTGGTAAAATATTTGATATTTATTAAGAATAAGTGTTGCTAATCATAAGAATAGATATGTCATGTAAGGCTAAGGCACAACTAAGATTAAAGATAGGCATAAACAAGGCATACTACATGTAGTAGCATCCAGGGATCTCGAAGGGTTGAGTAAAAGTGCCTTTCAATACAAATGAGATGCAGTATATGGCTAGAATTGAATTAAACTACATCACACAGCTGTTTCATTTTACTATGACTATTCTCAAAGTAATGCTTGTTGCCAAAATATTATACTTCGGAAATGAAGATAAGAAAATCCTATTTGGCATAATCAAATATTAAAAACTTCTGTAGGTTAAAAGAAGAAAAGTTTGCGTTTTTCGCTGAGCATAGGAAAATGTTATTGATGTGTTAACCTACCAAGCTATCCATACCAACCAAAAACAGCATAAAAAAGAACAGCACTGCCCAAAAGCTGGATCCTGGCATCAACGAAACTGCCTTCGGGTAGGTGAGGAAAGCCAATGCTGTACCTGTTAAATTATTAAGTAATCGTCACTATGGTTGTCTGGACACCTATGATAATAGTCTGCATTACATGAACGCCAAATTCAGGCCTTATTTGAATTACAGGAGTCGTCAACGGGGGAAAGAACCTGCAGAAGAAACAAATTGTTTTCGACTTTTAGAAAGCAGCATGTACTGGATTATTACCCAATTCTTCCTCAAAATACATATGTGCAAGCAAATTGTCACCGTTATAGAAATCAGCTTGTGCAGAAAAATATGTACTAATTCTATCAAGTCACCATGCTGGAAAAAAATGTAGTTGAACAAAATGCATAGGCGACATACCTGAATGTGAATTAAGGTCCCCATAAGCTTATTGAATACATATAGCAACGCACAAGACGCGCGAGCGATAGTTTTTTTTCTGTAGGTGTGGAAAAAACAACCTACTAGAAATTCTTATGGTAATTGACCAGTTATGTACTCTGCGTAAAGGCAAGATGTAATTGAAATCAAACTGTACGTTCTTGAACAGTAAATATCGATTGGAGTTTGACATCTTGACCTTATGCATCTATATTGTGTAATGATTCAGAAAGATAATAAAGCATGTTTACTCAGCGATAAGTAAGAACCTACTTCGTGTTGCCATTTAATTACGGAATAAAAACTAAACTGTTCGAAACAAATGCATATTGTATTGAAAAGTGAAACAAATTTGATGCGAACACTGCTATTTGTACATGTTCGCGATAAAATGGAAATGAACATGAATATTGCAAGGACAGAAACCAGGCTCAATGAGCGGCAAGATCGGACCGCCGAATGTCATTTTTTAGAATTAAAATAATAGTTCATTAATGATGATATACTTGTTCATATAGACAGAGACCTACCAAAAGCAGGTATTTTGTCAACTGGCGTAGTATTAAGTTGTCAAATTACTCCGATTAATATCGTGTGATCCATTCCCTAACAAACTCATATGAACAGGCAAGTAAGACCGAAATGAGTTCACGTCGGCAAAGTTCACTTTCAAATGTGTTGATTTTGGAAAACTCGCATCCTATTACATGCAGTGAGAGATGTCATTTTCACTTCACCGCGCAAAGGTTGACCGGAACGCGCCTAAGTATCCTCTTTTCTTTTAAAGTAACTCCATAAGAGTTAAATATGTGTTGTAGAAAAAGTACAATATCGTTTCCCGTGTCTGTAGCTCTGTACATATAAGATCATGAAGTACTTTTCAGAAAGTTCTCTGCGTTATATACATAATAGTCCGTGATAGGAATAGAATTGAAAGGTAAATATATGATTTTGAGGACTTGGATGTTGAAAGATGATATGAAATGGTACATATACTTACGGCTAACGCATGCGACTCGTCTCATCAATGCAAAATGACCTATTTCATACGTAAATAAGCAATGACATAACAATGCCAGCAGCACACTCCTGCTACCTGACAACAATGCATTCTGCTAACATATATCATTGTGCTCGCTCTAAGATTTTTTAGTTTACATCATGCACATCGGAAGATGTCAACTGAAATAAAATAGTAGTAAAATAAAATCAATGTTATGACATCAAAGTTTTGATAAAGCATTCCTGACCCTTTCTCCTGGAATCACTTAGGCCATGGTTTCTAAGTGTGATAAGCAATATTGCTGTTATCTATGAAACAACAGCATGGTAATATACTTCGTCGTGCTGCACTAGACAAAATAAGAGAAAGAGAGAGGCGCTCGTGTACCTGAAGTGGATATATCTGAAATGTCAACTCCCTGTTCACGCGCCATAAATCCGAGAACTGAGAACACTGCGAATCCACCTAGTATACTGGTGCCACTGTTGATGCACATGATGATGATACTGTCTCTAAAATAAAAAATCGGACCAGCTAACGATTATAAGTCCTGAAAAAAAAAATCGCTTCTATTGCAGGTAAATTGTTAAACCAAGATTCTGATAATCCTATTTCTTATAGCTTGCTTTAAAATTCCACTTAGGAATAAATCTATTTATTGAAAGACCAATTCAACTCCCTAAAACATAATATTTGAACAATATTAATGTAGGTATAGATTGGTGGTATTTTCTAGTAAAATGATGACAACTTCAACCGTAAGAAGATTGTACAAAAGACTCATAAGTGACTAGCACCTTTTAATGCAAATAATATTATAGTTAGATAAACCCAATGAATTAAATTGCCTCGTACAGTTATTTCGTTCATTTGGAAATCCCAAGTGGCAACTGACGTTAACACAAAGTTATCGAAAACAATGTCAGAACATAGACGGGAGGGCGCATTAGCCCCGTAATTTAATTACTTTCGTAATTTTTATACACGTGTTTTGATGATCTTAAGAACTACTTCAATTGCATGTGTATATTCCAAGACGTGCCACTATACGAATGAATTAAAACGAGGCAAGCAGGTTACCTTTGGAACTAAAAGTTCACCAGTAGTATTCACGATTGTGCAGATGACGCACCTTTTAATACTAATAAGAAGCTATATTTTATCATTATCGACATGAAAATGAATGATTTTACCTGTAAAAGTTATCATTAAACTTTTTGTAGCTTCCAAGTGTTATCAACCCGCCAAAGGCAACGGCAAGAGAAAAGAATATCTGAGTTCCTCCATCTATCCACACCTGATACATAAAAAAGGGATAATTGATATTAAAATCGAATAATTGATAAGAATTTTAACTTGTACTCCCATGATTACGTGTTTATGTATGCTTTTGATTTAGTGTTTGTGAGACATACATACATATGACCTCTTCTTTTATTGTGCATTAGGTCAGTAATTAAGTTCTGATGTGTGGGCAGAGAAGCTTCATGAAACGTAGTTAATACAAACACTGTAAAAATTAGTCATTGGCATAAGTTGGAATTTTTGACGTGTGTAGACCATTAAGAATTCTGACAAGTGGGGGAGAAAATTTCGCTCCTGAGAGCAGGAATGCTAAATGAATGTGTTTTCAGTTTAAAGGTCTTTCTCGTAAATGTGCCAAAGACTTAAGTTACTGTTGCTGAGGGAGCGAGGATATATCTTTTATGTTAGAATATGAAATAAACTTCTACTAGAAGTTCCTCGTTACTCCGGGCACACGAATGGAATCTAGTTGTGTTGGAAAGAGCAAGTATAACAACAACGTTGTTTCCATATAAATGAATTGCTTGAATTAAGAGGATAAGGGAAATATTGAATTTTGAAAACAAACAAATGCTACCTGTACATCAGCAAGTCTTTCAAAATTAGGGATAAGGAAATAGGTTATCCCGTCGATTGCACCATCTAGCGTAAGTCCTCTCACCAACAAACACAGCAGGACCACATAAGGGAAAACTGCTGTGAAGTATACCACCTGTATTACAAAAAGAAATGTGACAATGTTCTCCATTAGTAAGTCAGATACAAAAAATTAGACAATGGGAAAACTTTCTTTATTACCTTGAGTAATCAGTTTGTACAGAAATCGCGTTCATCTTGCAACAGTGAAAGTAAAGGTAAGTTTTGATAGGAAACAGCCATGCGTTTTGACGTGCCCAGACATGACTGTTCTGATTTAGGACACGTAAAAATATCTTTTGAGAAAAAAATTTCAAAAAATAAATAAAAAAAAACAACAATGCAGAATCCTTAAGCAGCATGGTATTGTTTTGTTTCATTCATGAGAATATTACAAAAAGTAAAGATACCTTAAATTTTATGTAAACTTAGGTACCTACCTTACCGCTCCACTTAACACCTCTCCACACACAGAAGTAGATGATTACCCACACTATAAACAAACTAAGAGCGATTTGCCACACAATTCCGCCACTATCCTCTATCCCATTAGACATCTGGATAACATGCCGTCTACAACATGAAATGTTTTGATATTAGGACAAAATATATTAATTTACTGGAAGACAGAAATGAAGTGAGACATCTTGAACCATAACTAAGGCGAGGATAAACCAATTTCTCTTGAGTACAACCATTTCTCTTACCACATGTTTATTTGCGTTTTGATGTTAATTTCAGAACCACTATGCCGAAATGGTTTTACATAAAATTGTGCTACTATATCAATTGTGATAAAACTCAATCTGCATATTAATTTAAAATAAATCATAACTACTAATATTTTATTGCAGACTCCATTGAGCAAGTGTTTGAGGAACAAACCATACGAGGTATTCATATACAACAAAAATATCAGTAAAAGTTGATTTTTGAAATAATTTTTTGTAGTTTCATTTATAATACATAAAAAATTAATATTGTGTAAATATAAATTGGAAGTACATGATATATAACATTTTTGTCACTTTTATCATGAAATGCCTATCACAATTGCTTACTCCCAGAATTCGACTGTTGGATCCACTGGTAGAAGGTCTGTGGAGTTTCCCACTAAACATTGATGCCTAGACGAATTGTACATGTCCAGGGACACATTCAGTTTGCTAAGACATGACGCTATTGTTGCCTCTTTTGAAATCGAACATCTGTAGAGATACAAAGAAATTTTAGTATGTTTTAAAATAAAGCAACGTGAGTTTCCACTCTTAATGACGATATGAAAAAAGGAGAAAGTCAGAGAAATGAGTTGGTAAAAAATTATCAAATATGAAAATATTTGTATAAGATACAACAGCTGAGTTAGTTATAAGTTCGATTCATTTGTCTTGTTAAAGACATCTTTCGTTAAACGCTTGGAACACCTGGTCTTATTCTCATTGTACTTTTTCCAGAAGCCTCCGTGTGCATATTTCTTTTGTTCATGTTTTGCCCTAGTTTTATGGAATTCGAGTTTACATTATGTTGGCGTGTTGGTATTTAATTAATGTTTTTATGACATCAATTGTAATATGAGGAGTATGTAACTTCAATAGTCAACGGTCAGCCAAGAAGATGTTTCTAATCCGAAAGATAGATTTCATTTAGTGTATACATTGGTCATAGTAAGGTGATGTGCTTTGTACCAAATTCGAGGCCCTGGACCTCTCAATAACTGAGTTACTGTCATTTGTTGAAATTTCATGTCCGTAGCATACGTTTGCTTGTATTTAAAGTAGGATATTGAAACTTTGTTTGCATACTGATCTTGCTAAGACAATGTGCAGTTTACAAAACTTCAGGGCTCGCAACCACTTGATAACAGAGTTATTGCCCTTTGTTTAAATTTCGTCTCCAGAGAACAGCTTTGAATTGATTGCATTTACACTAGGATAATGAAACTTGGTGTATATGTTGAACATACTAAGACGAGGGGTGTTCTCCGAGTGCCAACATTTTTTAACATTAGGAATCTGTTGTTTTTGGAAACAATAGCAAGGCAATTATATACTCTTTTCATATAAGCTGCCCTTTTCTTACCTGGCATTTTACCCGAGATTTACATGTGTTTCTCACATTCCATCCCCATATGACTAAGATATCAAACTGAATGTATAAATTTTATTTGATGAAAAATACTGAATAATTGAAATTGAAATTAAAGTATGTTGGATGATTTAGCACTAAACCATAACATACTTCTAAAATTATGATAATACGAATAGAAATGTACCTGTCCTAAAACTAATATTGAAGTAAGTAAAATATCCTAGATATAATTACAATACAATGTTAAACTAAACTTTTAACAGTAAAGTACTCAAAACAAAACTTGAAAATAGAGAGGAAAAATATCTTAAATAAAACTAGAATATTTGAAATGAAGAGGAAAAGTGTGTCATTATTGGTTAAGAAAATATCAAATTTCTGGTATTTGGGATCAAATCTACTTATTTATCAGTGAGAAATGATTAAAAGTCATTTCAGTTTCATTTAGCTTTATGGATTTTTAAATTAAGTGCCAATCATTACATGTGTACACAAACACAAGGCCTGGGTAAATTAAGTCAATATCCTTTAATGTGACAAATTAAATATTTGTTATCTAAACATTTCACAAGGTATATGAAATGGGTTTCTTCATTCATAATACTGTTTAGCGACTAAAATGTTACTATTGTTTAAACTTATCCTTAAATCTTTATATGTTAAACGAAACATAGACATAAGAATATAAATTTGACAAAAAATCAATAAAAATGTAAGTAATACCAGTTGCTGAGATACGCTCTAGGATGATGTGCAGTGTGCCAAATTCAGAGCCCTTGACCCTTCAATTACTTTAATTATTACCATTTGTTAAAATGTTATGCCCTGGCCATAACTTTACTTGCATTAAAACTAGGACAAGAAAAACTTCGTGTGTACATTATACATACCAAAACAATGTGCAATGTATCAGTATTAGAGCCCTGAACCCTTTCATTATAGAGTTATTGCCTTTTGTTAAAATTTTGTGTCCGGAGCACAACTTTGGTTTCATTTAAGCAAGGACAATAAACTTTATGTACACTTGTTCATACTAAAGGGATGTACAGTGTATCAAAGGATGAGAGCTGAAATTGACAGTAGATACCGACGTTTTACAAAGTGTATAAAATTATAACAAGAATAATATCAAGACATATATATATATCTTTTTATGCTCTCGGATCGAATGATCAGGGGCATATTGTTTTGTGCTATCTGTTTGTCTGTTGTCAACTTTAGCCTTGCCCATAACTGTTGCATAACTAAGAGCTTTTCTTATTTGGCTTATGACAAGACCTTTCTGGTGGTACCAATATTTGTTACCATGTGACAACGACCGTGACCTTTGACCTACATTTGAAAAACTTAAACATTGGCCTTAACTGTTGCAAAATGAAGAGATGCGTTTCACAAAATGTAGGATATTGTTTCATCAATACGTCTTGTATGGCAATATTTTGAGTATTTTTTTGTAAAGTCTATATGTTAGGACAGCAGCAGGGTGTCATAGGCACAGCGACGTGCAAACGAACACAACTTTCGTTATTTTTACACTACATGGCCTCACCAATGTCATAATTTGATCAAATCCCCTAAAATCGATACTCAAAGTTACACGAGGAACATACAGCGTGTTTGCTTTCTTTTATAGAGCTAGAACATTATTTTTCAAAACAAGCAACTTGCGAAGAAACAGATATATGTCAAGTAATGCTGAAACAAATTTCCCTCGTGCGATATTTTGAAATTATTTTTAGACTTCATTTACATGTTTAGGCGACTGATCTCGTCTTATTTCAATGTCTTATCAATACTCATATACACCAATCACGTTTTCATTTGGGTTATCTTCAGAACAGTACG